GTTAGGCTTAACGAACGAGCCGAACACGAGCTGCTTAACGAGCCGAACACGAGTTGTTCACGAACAACGAGCCAAATTGACAACCCTACTTGAAGGCCAATTGTGTCAGAGGTGATTCGAATCCCAGACTTGAGAGGCTTGATATCGTGGATGTCAGCCAACAAGTTAGGGTACGTGGCACATATATATATAAGGGGGCTTGAGATTTTGCTGTTTCTTTATGCAGTCAAATTGGGCCACAAACATGTGCTTAAACTCTTTAAAGAGAGTGACGACACCTGCGGGCTGGTTATTGAACCAGCATACAAATGATTCTTTTATCATCATGAACAACAAATGACACATTAAAGATAGATCGCTGACTCAAATAAACCATATGGTCAATGGGGCCAGACTTCCTTTTATAATATTCCAAAGATGGGATCTTAAAATTTCTTGGTGCCTCGACATTCGCAATCTCCATTTCTTCTTCTTCTTATTCTTCTTCTAGCTTCTTCAATTGAATACTCAAGGGCGAGTCTTCTTTTTCTTCTTTTCTTTACATATGGGGCTTCAAAAAGTTCCTCTTCTTCTAAAGGATGTGTTTGTCTCTTTCTGCTTCTTCTAACTCAAATATTTGACCAAGTGCTTTTTTAGGTCAAACTCTTGGTAACTTTGACATACAAGACTCTTGCGCCGATGTCCCTTTCCTTGGTGGCTATTGCCTATGAGCCAATGATTTTGACTAATCTGGTCTGTGTTATGGGCTTGGTTCTGGAGCATGATTTACTAAACTCTCTTCTATCTGGCAAGGCCTTCAAAACCCATTTTCTAGGCTCGTTGATCTATTGCATCACCAACTCCCTGATGCAATCAATCATTCTCCTTTGTCTTTCTTAATTCAAGAAATATCTTCTTGCAGAGTTTAAGTATGAAGTTCATGCTCACCACACCATTTAGGACCTTGAATTGTTTTAGGACGTAGAGTCTTTTATTGCTCATGAGTACATACAACTCAGTAAAGACCTTATTTTTTGTGGAGGAGAGGCAGAAGAGAGATGAAAATGAGGCTTGAGAGTTAGAGATTGTGTATTGAACTTTAACCTCTAGTAAGCCATAAAAAATGGCTCATGGGAGTTCTCTCGGATTATAGTGCTTTAGAGAGAGAGAATATGAAAATGTCCAAAATCCTCATTCTTTCATATTGACTTCCCTTTCATGCAAATGAAAAAAATAATAATAAATACATTTAGTATAGTATGACACTCATCCTTGGTGTCTTGATAAAAAGATCATGATGTGCATGTCAACTGACATTTTTAAAGAAGTTTGGACTTTCGCACTTGCTAGTAATGTTTATGATATATAGTAGATGTCTCTCCTTAGGTGTGCTAGGTCACTCCACAAAAGGGATGGAATTCAACTATTTTTGCAAGTGGGTTCGGTTCAATGTATTCATTTTTATTTGTTAGAATACACATAGAAAACTTGTATTTAGATATATAGTCGTGTGACAAAGCTTGTATTTAGACATATAGTCGTGTGAGTGTGTGTGTGTGTAAACCAAAGTGCTTGAAATTTCCCATGCTTTAGTTTGATGCAAGTTAGGTTTTATTTGGAATTAGTCATTTAGTTATTGACTCCAAGTTAATTACTTAATTAGTTTTAATTTAATTAAGATTATGTTGTGATTTAAGTTAGAACTATGTAAGTTTTTCATTGCTTAGTTATAATTTAGCTTAGGTTTTAAATTGTTAAGTTAGAATTATATCATGTGGCTTAGTTCATATTATGGCTTATATTTTAGATTTTAAATTTTCATTGAAGTTTATGTTATGATTTTAATTTGTTCTTGTTCACTTCATGTTGTATGCCAAAATTGAGCTTAGTTAACTTTTGTTTCTAGTTAATTTATTATGATTTCAACTTTAAGTTTAGGCTTTTATAGTTATGTTTAATTTAACTTTATGTTTATGTAAGATATGTGAACTGTAGTTTACTTGGATTTAATTGTGAATTAGTTTAAATTCAAATTTGAATTTTAAGTTTGGTTTAAATTTAAGTTTGACTTGAGTTTTAACTTCAAGTTGAATAAGTCCATTTAAGGTGTTAGGTTTTAGATTCAATTAAATTATGTATTATTTAAGTTGTTTGTGTTTATATTTGACATATACGTACACATACGTGCATACTCGCACACACATATGTATAGGTATACACATGGGCGTAATTTTAGTTAAAGATGAGTTTAATTAAATACATGATTTAATTATAATTTGATTTTAAATTCAAAATAATTTAGGTATAGTTCAAATTAGTTAAAATTGATTGGACTAATTATCAATTTTAATTTGATTTTAACTTATGTTCAGCCAAGCCTTACGAAGCTATCCATAAGTCAAGCCAAAGCATAACTAAGCCAACCTAGAGACCTAAGTAACCAAACCTGGGACCCCTAGGCTAAGCTAGGGTCAGCTATACCTGAGCCAGATCAACTAGACCAGGTCAAGTCCACCTCAGCTACCAAAGGGTATTAAGAAATGGACCCTAAACCAAAATAGAATTAGCTAGAGGCTAAAAAAAAATAGAGTTGACTAAGAATGAAGTCAACATTATCACATAAAGTAAAGGGATCATAGACACTAATATTTAAAGATTAAATTTTGGCATAAATTTCAATGCACTATTAGGAAAAGAAGAGAAGTTCTTGCTAATCTTTTAGAGTCTTTAAGAGTTATTTTTTCGTTAATTCATTATTATATTTTATGACTCAAAAATTGATTAGATGAATCTTAACCAAAATAATTAATAGAAATTTGAGTTACAAAAATATATTTTAAATATTACAGAATTGATATTCTACATAGAAAAAATAACTTTGCTAGAACATTGAAGATCCTCTGTTCATATTAAGATCTTTGATCATAATTATTGTTAGATCATATAAGGATTTCTAAAATAAGTGTGATTGCTTATTAAATATGATCATCATTGTGCATATGATATCTTTATGGATAAGATTTTTTACTAACAATAACTTTAAAAGTTAGCCATTACAAGAGTTTTTCTTAAGTCATGTTTACAAATTTTTTGTCTCACTTTTTTTCTAGATTTGTAGTCATAAGTACAATTAACATATTATAATTATGATTATACCTTAAAATTAAATATTCTTATGATTATGTTCTACAGCAGGAAAGTTCCCTAAGATCATTTAGACTTGATACATTTAGCTTTACTTCTACACCCATTATTGTAATAATAGTTCTTACGAACAAGTTCTTGAAGATATGTGGTAGTTTGCATTATTTGTAAGAAAAATATTCATATTACACTCACCTTTGCACATTTTTTTTTTGTACTCAAAAGGCCACGGAAGATATTGATAATGGAATCTTAAGAAGGTGACTTAGATGTGAACAACGAGCAATTTAAGATTGGATTATATTAATCTCTCTCTCTCTCTCTCTGTCACACACACGCGTGCGCGCGCGCGCGCACACACACACTTAAAATGTTAATTGAAAATTTTATGAGTACTACTTTAAATCTATGCCATCCCTATAAAGAACAAGAATCTCAAATATTGAAGCAATGAAGCAACAACCATCTTTGCATTCAGTATTGTTTCAGTTATGTTTTAATAGCATATTTGTTTATTTATAAACTACTAATTTGATTCAAAAAAATTTCAAGAAATCAATTAAAGTCCCTTAAAATTCATAAATCACTACTCTGAGGATGCTGCCAATATTGTCATAAAATGTCACAAAAATACCGTTTTATTGAGAGACTGGTGATGATCTTATTTCTCCACCCAAGCTCATGCAATTCATTTTTAATTGAGCTTTATACAGGCAGATCATAAGCAACTGAGGTAGGTTCATGAGCCCACTTCTGTGTTCCTTCACATAAATATACTCAATGCAATTTATCCCTCGATAGGCCATAGTTTTTCATGTTTCATATATTGTAACATATGTTCTTCTATATTATGTAGTATATTACTGCAAATATATAATCTTAAAATGCTTAGCCACCAACATATCATATGGCATAGTTTTTCAATTTTCATATATTGTAACATATGTTCTCCTACCTCCCATAAGTACAACTCTATTATGTAGTATATTACTGCAAATATATAATCTTAAAATGCTTAGCCACCCACATATCATATGTATTTACATATCTAACAATTGCATTTATAACACTCGGTGTCATAGACCTATATAATAAAAAATGTATTTCACTATTAAAATACTCGTAACATATGAATTTCTTATATAGGTAAATACATAAAAATTTTGTGGTATAAATATGTAAATGCTACAAGGAAGGATAAATTTTAAATTAAACTATACTATAACAAATTTTTATTACAATTATAAAAAAAAAATATTATTATTTACAAATCAAGCACCCGATTTCATATATTTTTCAAATTCTCACTCAAATACCAAAATTTATGATAAAACCCCAACTTAAATATATATTTTTATTTTTTATCAACTTCTCAAAAGTTTGATAGTGGCAAACGTAAATGCATTGGTTAAATAGTTCAAAAAATAGCCGATGTGTTTGATTTGCAAATAACAAAGTTACTTGGCCTTTTTATGTCATTATCCCTTTTTTTTTAATGTTTAGGGCATGCAAAATTGAAAAAATAATTAGATTTCCTTTTTTCCCTCAAAATTATTATTGATTCCAAGATGTCGTGGCCAATCGAGCCGCTTTCGGTTCGATTTTGCTTGAAGACCATTTTTCTCACCATCTTCTTCCATGAAGTCTTTGCCTGCACAATTGTCTTTCGCCATCTAAGAAAATAGTCGTTCTGTCAAATCCTTAATATAGTTAATGATCATCATAAAAGAACTCATGACCCATTAATTGCTCCTCTAAAATCATCATTTTGAATCCCAAACTTCATGCTTTTTTTTCACACACAACCCTCAATTTCTAGGTATTTACATATTTAATATA